ACATGCATTAAAAAGTGGGGAATATTCTAAAAGTTGAAAGTTGTTACAATACTTATTTCACATCTTCTTTCTCAATACTGTAAGCTGGTAAGGAACATACACAGCTCACAAAAAAATTAAGGGCAAAATATTCAAGAACCGCAGAAATGTCTGTGGACATAGTGGGTTCAAGAGTTCTAAAAAATAGAATACAGAGCACTAGTAAGTGGGAATGGTAACGACTTTTTCTTTGTTTTATTGCTGAGAAGTTACAGTATATAAGTCTATGTATATAGAAATGAAAGAGAACATTTTGAAAGGAAGTTCATACAGTAGACATGGATCAAAAGGCGAAATAATAGAGAGAGAAAGATAAAATAAAGCAAGGTTATCTTTTCTAAGAGTAAGGCTGAAAGGAGAGAACACAGGAAGAAACTTAGACAAAGAAATGTGCTATTTTGTTTCCTGTACATTGCATATAGGTGTAATATCCTTTCTTCAGTGTTACTCTAGAATTATTTTTGAAGATCCAGACATTTATCACCAGTTATCACTATGTTTTCTTCTTTGATACAGAGAGGTTGAGTAATGCAATCCTAACAGTATTTGTGTGATGGAAAAATGCTCTATTACAATAAATCCTAATTTGAATACCAATTTCTTAAACATTTAAACATAAACAATGTATTCCTCGCCTATGTCTTTTTTCATATGGTTGCATCTAAAAGGCAAAGCTTGATGGTAAATTTACATGTTAACGTTTTCTGAAGTCTTCTTCATAAATACTGTTCAACTTAAACTGCCCTTTGTTATGGCCAAAGGCTTTGCCATAAATTCTTTGTGAAAATTGCAATTGTTTGATGGTGGATGGAAACCAGCCTTTTGGTGGTTATTATGATATATTATATACAGATGTTGAAATATAAAGCTGTTTACCTGAAACTTAAAAAATAAACAAAGAACAAACAAAAGAAACCAACAAAACAAACTTAGATTTTGAGAACAAAATGCTGATCGCTGATCGCCAGAAGGGAAAGGGAGGGGCAAATGATGTAAAGGGAGGGGGTCTAAGAGATGGTGTTGCATGGAACTAGGCTTTGGTGGCAACAACAGTATGGTATACAGATGTTGAGCTATAATTCTATACACCTGAAACCTATATAAAGCTATAAACCAATGTTACCTCGATAAAAATTTTAAAAAGCAAATTGCATTTTAATGTGATAATTTCCATACATATAAATACACTAATACAAAAATCATACTTAATACAAAATCATACGCGAATACAAAAGAGCTAGAAGTATTTTATGTGATCTTCAATTTTAGTCCTTGTGAAGTCTATTTCATTAATTAGGTCTTATCCTTTCACTGAGCTCTTAGAAACTGAGACTGAGAAGGACAGTGTAGAGCTATTGCAATCCAAACCCCACAAATTATTTTAGGCATCAGTGACTCTATGAACTCATTATGCTGGCAAAACTTTGGAGGAAGGAATAGGTCGACAATCCCAATACTTCAAGCTACAGGAAAATGGAAAAAGCATAAAAGGAATATGCACCTGAAGCTCAGAAAGCCAGCATCCAGAGAAGTTTAATTTATTATTCTAATGACTTTCACAGCATGAGACTCTCACCAGGAGACACATGTCTGTGCATCTAATAAGGCTGCAGAGATTGGGCTATTCCAGAAGGACTCTCGTGGCTGTTTCTAAAGCATCCTTTTATAGATAGGAAAATATAAAGTATGTGAAAATGGCTCAAGACTGATATCATCTAGGCTGTTTTGCTGCTAGCTACCTTTACACAGATTCCTCAGAAATGAAGCCAACATTGGCTAGCAAGCTCCAATTAAAATATTTAGGCTTTTTTTGCTAAACACTCATATTTTTCTCTTGAAGCATGAAAAATCCTAGATAAGAGTTACTGGAATGTGCACTGCTTAGTTATAATATAGAACTGGGGTCTGCAAAAAATAAATCCCTTAAAGTTCATCTTTCTCCATTTTATCACCCTTCTCTGAATTCCAAGGTTTCTATGCAATTGTGATGTTTATGGACCGATCCCCCTCAATCTTTTATTTAATAATGTTATCATTCTATATGCATTGTTTTACAGGGATTTTTAAGTCAATTATAAAATGGAAAATGTTCACTGTCATACGTTATTAACCAACCCCCCTCTACTTTGGGTACTTAGTGGTTTCTAAGATGTCTAGAATAAACAACCTGCCCATATATCATTTTGTAGATATGCACATAGTTACTGACATAGAAAGTCTGAAGCTATAATAAATGAATTTAAAATATTTATCAATATTTCCATATTGTAATCTCATTTTTTTCTTAGTCTTTTTTTAAAGATTTATTTATTTATTTGTTTGTTTGTTTGTTTGTTTGTTTGTTTGTTTATGCATACAAGAGCTGGAGTGCAGGCCAGAGATGCAGGGGGTGAGAGGATTCACCAGAGACAGAGTGGGGAGCAGAACAGGAAGACTGAAATACACTGCTGAGGGGAGCAGCGGGCGAGACAGGAGAGGTCTGCTGTGCCATGTGGGTTGCTCCCTGGCCAGCTGGGAATTGAACCCATGCTGATGAGGCTGCGGATTTCTTCATAGTGCAGTGTTTCAACCCCTTGAGCCACCAAAGAGGCCCCCGATTTAGTCTCATCCATGTGAGGAACTATTTCTGCTCACTGGCGCTCACATACATTTGATAGCAAACATGATTTCTCACTTTTCCATTGGAACATACACTTTGTAATAAGGTATAAGTACTTTTACTGTGTCATCCCTCCTCATTATTTTTCCATTTTGATATTTCCTAAAACTCTTCCTTAAACAGCTTCTGTAGTCATTACACTACATAGTAACCTGATCTTGCTGGTGTCTTCCTTATCACTTCCCTTGAAGACACTGATCCTCAAAACAAGCAAACACAAATATGGAACAAATCTATTCCTAATTCTTTCTAGCAACTCTAGCATCTCTACCTGAATTTGTTATAAGTAGATGTATTGTGTATATTCATAGGTATATTCAGCAGTGTTGGTCAGGGCAATCAAGAACATTATTCAACAGAATGAAAATAACAGAGATTACAGTTTGGATCATCTTGGCAAGTGGAAAGAGGTCAACCACACTATGTGTCACTGAAAGACATTACTTTTTCAGAGGATTTCTTTCTTTCTTTTTTTTTTTTTAAAGTCAGAAGTGTGGGAGGGTGAGAGAATTCACCAGAGCCAGAGGGGAGAGCAGAGCAGGCAGACTGACGAAGTACACTGTAGAGGGGAGCAGTGGCAGCAGGAGAGGTCTGCGCACCATGTGGGACGCTCACCTGGAGGCCAGGGATCGACCCGGCACTGCAGAGGCTGCGGGCTCGCAACCCAGCGCTCAACCCTTGCGCCACCAGGGAGGCCCTTTCAGAGGATTTCTTGCCCCGATAAATTGCCTAAGAAAATAATCTCTTGAAGGATTATAATGAATTAATTGCTTGACAGCTGGGTGCCACCAGTTCACCACTAGGACTACACAACATGGACTAAAAGTATGTTCCCATCACAACTGGACTGAGAGGGCTATGAAACCACTGCACACAGCTGTCATTCAAAAGGTAGAGACAGGGCCTCCCCGGTGGCGCAGCGGTTGAGCTCTGGGTTGTGAAGCTGCCCGCGGCCTCTGTGACGCCGGTTCGATCCCCAGCTGCTCCCCGGCTACCAGAGGAGGGTCCCACATGGCGCACAGACCTCTCCTGCTGCCCGCTGCTCCCCTCAGCAGTGTATCGTCAGTCTGCCTGTTCTGTTCCCCGCTCTGGCTCTGGTGAATCCTCTCACCCTCCCGCGCTTCTGACTGTACCCAGTGCATGTATAAAACAAACAAACAAACAAATAAATAAATAAAACATGCCTCTAAAAAAAAAAAAAAGATGTAAAGATGTACAAAAGGAAGAGACAATGCACAAAGCCCAGAGAAACTGCTAGTACAAGACCCATTCTTCAAGACTAGTCTAAAAACACCCTAAATTGTCTGTGTTGAGTATGAATTGAGTTGTGCATTCTACCGGTTATACTTCATCAATATATTTTTCTCTGGATGATGAACCTATTATGAAGCCAAATAGCAGCACTTACAAAAACAAGTGACCACAATTATAGTTCTTTTCACATAGTTCTGTTTTTATAAGGTTCTTAGGAAGTTCTAGCACAGGCAGAGTTAAGTTATTGTGATCACAATCTTACTGGTGTTTGCTGAAGAGTGGGGTTAGGGCGCATCGGCTGTCGGGGAATGTGAGACATTTCTGAAGAACAGAACTGTTCTTATCTTGATTGGGAAGGTTGTTTTAGATGATACCTTTATCAAAAGGCATTGAACTGTACACTTAATACTTGGGTTTGTTTTTTTTTTTTAATACAAATGATGCTTCATTGTAATTTCCCATCACAATTTCTTCTTTGGAGAAAAAAGGAATAGCCTTTTACCCAAAGCTTTCCTTTGATTTCGAAAACAAAGGGTCACACTGTAGAGTCAATCATGTTTTGGAAGACTTAATGTTGTTGTAATGAGTAGTATGTTTTTTTGTGGGATGTAGCAAATATGCAATGGTGTTTTCTAACTAAACAAGTGTCATCAGAAGATGACCAGAGCTTCTGTTTTATATATACTGTGAAGACTTTTTTGTAAGAGTCACCTTGTGTAACTATAAGAGTGAGTAGGGTGTTAGGAAGCTCCATGTTATTATGAATGGTCATTTGTCATAAAATTTCTAAAGTATGCTGATGACAAATGTGAATTAAGCAGAAGGGCAAACAAGACATATGTTAGAAAAATAACACTTTTTTATTGACTTTCCTTTAAGCAAACCTTATCTTTTCTAGGTTTATTATGAAGGCTGTGTACTAGGGAGTCATCCAAAAAGTTGTATTGTAAAGACAAGCTTTTAGTTCATTTTAAAAAGTAAAACTGTATAGTATCACCTACCCCAGCCAGGCACTGTGATGTCACTGGGAACAGAATGGTAGCTATGACTGACCAAGCTCCTTAACAGAGGACAACCAGCCTGTAAGAGCTCATTTCATGAATAATTATGACACAGGGAAAGAATGAGACATGGTGAGCCTCCCAGGTGGCATAGGGGTTAAGTTCCAGCTTTATCATTGCTGCGGTGGCCCAAGTTCCATCCCCAGCCAGGGAGCTAACACACATATGGTGCAGCAGACACCTCCTGACTCACCCGCTGCTCCCCTCAGCAGTGTATTTCAGTCAGTCTACCTGTTCTGTTCCCCAATCTATATCTGGTGAATCCTCTAAAACCTTGTATCTCTGGCCTACACCCCAGTTCTTCTATGCATAGATAAATAAATATTTTAAAAAATGAATGAGATATACTACTGTGGAGTATGGACTTTGGAACTAAACTGCTTGATTTAAATCCTGGTTTATACTTAAGTTAGACAAGTAACCTAAATGCCTTGTGCCTCAATTTCCCATTTGGAAATGGAGTGGTTAATCATAATATATTACATATAGTTTTGTTAAAACTGGGTAAAGTTCTTAGAATGTAGCTTGACCAAGAGTAAGTGCTGTACTAGTAAGCGAGAGACTTGTGGTCTCCAAGGGAAAGTGTAATTGGTCAAATTCCAGCATTGCCCAAATAAGCAGGTGAGAGCAGTTCCTCTTGGTCAGTGTCCACTCTGCCAGGTGTCTGCAATGGATGCATTGTAACTGCAGAGCCAGAAACCAGTAACAGGTATGTTATTCATCTCTTCTTCTTTTTTTTAAAGATATATTTTATTTATTTATGCACACAATAACTGAGTTATAGGTCAGAGGTGGGGGGTGAGAGATTCACCAGAGACAGAGTGGGGAGCAGAACAGGCAGACTGACTGAAATACACTGCTGAGGGGAGCAGCAGGCAAGACAGGAGAGGTCTGCTGCACCATGTGGGTTGGCTCCCTGGCCAGGGATTACACTCATGCTGCAGGGGCTGGTGATAGCTTGACAGTGCTGGAACATTAACCCCTAGGCAACCAACCCTATCTTTCTATCTTTTCATGTTTTAACTCCATGAAAATACCTAAGAAATTTAACCAGTTATGTAGCTGGCATACATACCTATACACACACACACACACACACACACACACACGGGGTGGGGAAGAAATGACATTACATCAGATTTAAGAATATGGTCTACTTGAAAGTTATATTTCACACCACAAATGAACAAAACTTTAGTATGGCATGAATATGTGTGGATAGAAAAAACTTGTGGAAATTAATATACAAGCATGTAGCTCTCTACATATACATCATCCATACATACACCTGTGTAGAGTGAGAGCAAAACAAAAAAAAAAGTAAAGAAATGTTCAAATGTATGGGTATTTCCTAATTATAATGTTGGGATAAAAATGGTAAAAATGTAGAAAACTTGAATGATTAATAAATTGTAAGTGCAATGTTAAGAAGAATTTCATAAGAAAAGTTGCCAATAAGTAAAAATCAGGAAAAAAAATTAAATAACCTTTACTGGTGACTAAAATTGCTGGCAAATCTGATTTTAATGCTAATTGATGGTAGGTAATGTGATTGCAAATATACATTTCAGATGAAGAATTCATCTACTTCTAGAGGAATTTTGGTTCATACCTAAAATAATTACATATGTTCATCAATGAAGCACTGTTAATAAGAAATTACATATGCATTAAAATACAAGTGTTGATCACTCTTTTTTTTGTTTATAATTTTATCAAAGTCCAAATGCACTGCAGTAGAAATTTCCAAGAAAAAATTAATTATGTTGTTTTAAAACATTTTGGCTGGTTTTGGTTTCCTAAGTCATGAATATTAGAGTCCCATTAGCAAAATCATCAAGTGAAAAGTACATAACTCTATTTGATTTGCTATAGAGAGATTCCAAATGAATTATTAAAACCTTCCCACCAGGATTTCTGGTTTCAGATGGCAGAATAAAACATGATTTCAAAATCTTCCTTCCCACAAACCTAATTATAGAAGTAAAGGAAGAGCAAAAATCCCCTGCTGCAGTCAAGCAAAGAACGAAGCTGATGGCTATTTAAAAAACAAATGTTTCTATGACTCTACACAGAAACAGTATATATGAATCAGTACAAAAAAGGCACAGAGTTCAAATCCAATACACTAGAGTAACCCATATAGAAATATCTACCTTAACTATACACACATGCACACACATGTGCACAAACATTTGTGCACACACAGAGCATACCACCATTATGGTTAATAGTCTATACGAATGATACACATCATCATCAAGAATGTAGGGAGAATATGCTATAATTTTATAACATAATGCATATCTATTTATATGCTAATTTTATAGCATATAAAATATTTAATGCTCTGAAGGCATTAGATGCTATAGAAAAGATATGAAAAAGATACAAAAATAGGATATCAGGAGAAATATTTATCATTATTTTTAGGGAATGTTATTACACCTCAAGGAAAACTATGACTGTAAACTTAGGAACATAAAGATAATTCTGAAAAGGAGGTATATGTAAAATTATCACTCAAGTGTGGAAAACACAAGAAGAGGTAAATCAATTTCCACAGGAGAAATCGAGCTATAAATCTAAACAAAATTTTTATGCTTATGTGAAGAAAATTAATATTTCTGCAATCTACCACAGACTACTTTAGTGAGTGATAGATGTACCATGCACCATAGGAGGAACTAGGAGAGCAAAAAAGAGCTCAAATTGTTCAAAATTTATCCACAAAGTTAATGTAGTCCCAATTAAAATAGCCACAAAATAGTGAATGCTTGTGAATAAGAATACAATGGTTGCCTCTCCTCCCCCACCAAAAAAAATGACACAGCAGAAAAAAATTGAAAATGAAGATTTAAAAGGGCAAATAGTTCTAAAATATGCACAAATAATCATAACATTGTTTTGAGAGTAGAAATGGATTTATGGCATATGGAACAAAAGAAAAAGAAAAAAATTCAGAAATATTTTCGAAACGAAACATGAATTATATCCACCATACAAATAAATTTTAAATTGACACATAGAAATTAAATTCATGATACAATTAAATTTCCAGTGTAGAAAGATGAACTTTTCAATAATTGGTGTTGGGACTATAGGCCCAAATGAATGGATTTTTTTTAAGTTTATATAATTTTTAAAAGTGTATTATATGTGAATTGATGTGTACATATGTATTTGTAGTGTGTGTGTGTGTGTATTTCACTCCTTGCACTAAAATATAAAAACAAATGCAAAATGCCTAAATGGAAGTATGATGACTTTATATATAATCTTTGAGTGGGAGAGCTGTTTTAAGTGGGTGTAAAATGAAGAAGTCTCCAAAATATGTGTAGCTCTTACTACGCAAATACTTTTAACTTTTGTATAGCAAAAAATATACAACCAAATGTAGAACACAAACTGGGGGGAAAATATGCAATGCCATGACAGATGTGGTTGTTATTTCTTTAATTTACAAATATCTCAAAACATCACTAAAAAGACATACAATCCAAAAAAAAAAGTAGAGAACAGTAAGTTTCTTGAAAAAATACAAAATGATGAACAAATATGACTTAACCTTCATTATGATAACAGAAATACATAACAAACCAATGAGGTTACATATTTCACATTTCACATTGGCAAAAGTTTGTAAGCTCAATCAGCAAAATGTTAGAGAGGTTATGAGAAAACACAAACTCAGCTGTACTGAATAAAGTATAAATGTCTGGATCATTTCTATGGGCCAATTCACAATCTCTACTAAAATAACAAAAACTCGGGGTTCTTTAGATCTAGCATGACAGCTCTTAAAAATTTACCGTGAGTATACTCCCTAAGGTTCATAAAGATATATACACAGGGCCTCCCTGGAGGCCTAAGAGTTAAGTCTCAGTGCTACCACCTCAAAGGCCTGAGTTTCACACTGGCCAGGGAACTAATCCACACATGGCACAGCAGACCTCTGCAGTCTCTCCTACTGCTTCCCTTAGCAGTGTAATTTAGTAGGTCCGCCTGTTCTGCTCCCCACTTTGTCTCTTGAATCATCTCAACCCCTGGCCTACACCCCAGTTTTTCTACACAAAAATAAATAAAATATTTTTAAAAAAGATATCTTCATGATAATGTTTATCACATAATGGTTTATATTAGTCATGAAAACATCTATAAACAGTATACTGATTAACTACATATCTCAATAAGGAATGCACTATCACTATTTTTAAAAAGTGAAGTAGAAATGAAAGAGAAATAGAAAGGTGAACTGAGAAAGGAGAAAAACTCAAATAAGCATTCTGAAATATGCCTATCTATGATAATAATTTTATATACATCATACAAACATAAATCATAATGCATATTTATAATGATAAATTTATACAAATAATGCAAATATATACAGAAAATGTTCTAAAACAGTTAAGAACTATTAAACTAAACTGATTTAAAAGGAAGACATGGAGAAAAGGATAGATGCTCTCTTTTCTTTTCATAGCTTTCCATCCGATTAAAAGCTTCTTAATGGGAATATTTTTGGTTTCATTTCATTTACTACATTTTTTTGTGCTTAGTGGATTGCAGACCACTTATTTTTCCCTCTTCACATGTGTTAATATTAAATAGAAAACATACTACTTAATATTATGGTTTAAATTATTTCAGCAAATGATCAATTACAAATTTAAAGAAATGGGGGCCACTTTTCAGTTGTGATACAGTTAAGGCTCATCCTAAACAACCACCTTGTCTTAAAACAAACCATAAGCTTTGTCCCAGGAGACAGGGTTTTAGTCCCATCTGCCTTTGTGAACACTGCACCACCCACTGGAGTGCCTTACAAGTACAAGATGTTCAGTACAATTTTGTCAAATAAAGATATTTTAAGATACAATTAAGCTTTTATTTTATATGTGGTAAATGAACTGAAATTTACATGTCGATTTTTTTCATCTTTTGTGCTAGTCCAATCCAAACCTAGAAATATTTGTAAATAAGTTGCAAAGCTCTAAAATAAAACAATCCTAACTCAA